ATATCCCACGTACAAAATCCCTATGTACGGCTCTATCCACATATCTCAAACCGTTACTATATTTTCCTACTTCCCTACTTCCTTCCTAGCGTCAAATAGGATTCTTCTGTTTTTATTTATGGCAGCGAACTTATCTGCAAATATATTTATATTCTCAGGTTAAAAAGCAACAAATGTGTCCCATTTAATTTCAGTCACCCCTTGTATTCCTGCAAATACGTTACGGCCTATAAAGAATCAAATTAGAAAATAAATGGAGATAAAACAACTCCAGTGGTTAGTCCATTTATGTAGGAAAACTTATCGGAATATTTCCACCTTTACTCAACCTCCAGTCTATTTCATTAAACACTTTGGTGTCGGCATAACAATTTTCCCGGGTACTCAAACTTCTGTGGGAAATTTGCGCAAATTTATGAACCAGATGAATCGTGGGCTATCTGTTTGTCTATGAATAGCTGATGTATTATCTCCTTGTATCCAAATTACATTTAGTAACAGACGAAAGCGGAATACCTTATTCATTTTTCACCACATAAATCCAATAATGAACTCAGCATTCAACTGAGCTCTGATATGGAATATGGGGACAGATGGTACTCTCTTTAAGTTAATATTTCAATTGAGGAATATTGACCAGACAGTAATGACGTGAGCACATAAGGTGAATATTCTCCATTGTTGAGAGCTGTTGCCAAGCAAAGACTGTGATGACACTTCAAGCAGTAGAAAACTCAGCATGCATTAATTTGTAAACACAGTCAAATCAGCGATATCTTTCTAAGTACTTGTAACTTCTGGTCGTGTTGTCATTAAAACATTCACAAATACATACCGTGTCTGTAGTCTCCCCTGCACGTGCAATATATTAATGAAAAAATCGTGCAAAGGAAGATGGAAAAGAAAATATGAAGAAAATATTATATGACAACATGAATTAAAAGCGAGTAAGAAAACGTAGAGACCTAGGAAGCAGAAGAATCGGAAGAACCACTTTTGTATAATACTTTCTCCGAACTTTTATGATTCATTTCCACTAAGGAAGGGATAGAGTTGTGCCACGTGAATATGGTTACGACGGTGTTAATTTGATATATACTTTGTACAGGAACAGAAAATTGGTTTGTAAGAGAGGATTCCCTTTAAGAATCATTCCATAGAATGGCTAATGCCAATAAATCTACACCATTTTGGACATGAGATTCAAAATCACTGACCGAATTGCAGGTTCGAGTCATTCCCATGGCCTTCGCTACAGGGAGCAACAAAAATATATGTAATTACTAGTAGTAGGTTCGCTCTGTTGCAGGAATTGCCACAATAGGGAGTCCGGCTAGTTTGAAGAGCCAGAACATACCAACATTTCACCTTTGAAACCAGGATCCAGCGTGGCCTTGAAACATAGACAGTTTCCGAGGGGTCGTACTATTTTGACCTATCCTATCCCCGATTTCACTCAAGTGAAGGCTAAAACGAACACTTTTAACGTGTCTCTCCCTCTCGTATTTAATGCTGACGGACCATCATTGTGCGTTTCGCTATCGTCTTCTCTCTCGCTCCCTCTAGCTGTCTCTTTTTCCTCTACAGCTGGAGCATCTGGGCTTGGTGGTGACGAGCAACCATCACCTATCGCAATAGCTTCTCCCTCTGCTATGCTTCCTGTCCCTCTCTCTTCCGCTGGCGCATAAGTGCTGAGTCTGCGGTTCGATTCAGATGCCGCTTGTCTCTCGTAAGGAGTGGACATGTAATGAGGCGCGTACGCATCTCGTAGCCTTTCCTCTCCGTCGCTTGATACTGAATCATCTGGGTTCATCTCTCTTTGCCCGAACCCCGGTCTCTGTTCTCTCATACTCCGCCGATGTTGCCTCCGTCTCTCACGGAGCTCCTCTCGTGTTGCTCTGCATAGCTTCAGTTGCTCTATGTGCAGATTTACTTCTCTTTTCCCTATTTGTATCCGGTACACTAGGTCAGAGATTTTCCGGATCACTCGATACGGACCTAACCATTTAGGTTCCAGCTTTCTGCCCTTTACCATTTGTTTCCGGTACACAAGCTGGCCGGGTAGATATTCCATCCTTCGTGCTTTCCGGTCATGGCGAACGCGCTGGTCCCTTCTCACTTGGCTCAGCTTCCTCCTTGCAATTCCGTGTGCTTTTCGTCGTTGTCCCGCCAATCTGGCCACTCATCCTCGCACACCGTCTTCCCCTGCTTTCCTCTTTGCTATCTGGCGGGCTCGCCTCAATTTACTGGCCAATCTCTTCACTGCTTCTACCGCCGGTCCCCTCGACTCTGGTACGCTGGGTTCGGCTGGGTCCTCCTTTACCCTCTCTACCACCTGTCTTCTTGACTCCGTGGTCGCTTTCACAGCCGTTTCCGTCCCTTCCCCTGCACCTTGCAGAGGTCGCGGCTCCGTCCGACAGACCCTCACTCGTCTGTCCACTTCCCGTCTACCTGGCGGGTAATTCGTCAGTTTAATCTTCTGGCCATCCAACTCTATTTCTTCGGTGGCCAAGTCAATACGGGCGTTTAGTGCCCTCAACAGATCGAGCCCCATAATTCGGTCCTTCTTGATCGGAAAGGGCGCTACTACAAAATCGTGTGTAGTGCCTGTCTCTTATTAAGAAATCCACCTGTCTTGTGCCTAGTATCTCCAATTCTTGTCCAGTGATACCCCTAACCGCATCTGTGATCTCCTTCGTGGGCTCCTCCCCCATGTAAGGTTGGACTAAACACACGTCTGCACCTGTGTCTATTATAAACTCGTAGTTTGTCCCTTTGACTTCTGCTATGATACACAATTCTTTATCCTCTCGCGCTGTCGCGAATGGAATCCACGCGGCTTCCTTTCGGCGGGTGACGGGGTCCTCTACCGCCGAAATTAGTTTGGGGAGCTCTGCTCCCTCTGGGTCGTGGGCTCTCGTCTTGCCTCACAATCCCTCGCTATGTGGCCTTACTGTCCACACGAAAAACACTTGACTGGGGGTCGAACCCAATCTCTGTTCGTATCTCTTCGTTCCTTGGATCGTCGTACCGGCGATCCTCGCGGCTGGCTTCTCTGATTCCAGGGTGATCTGTCTCCCTTCGGACTC